CCTCCTGTGCCCTCTTCCCTGCTTGCTCTAAGACACAGGTGCCAGCTGGCCACTGCTCCTTTATGTGTCCCATTCAGCCAGCAAACAGGGCTGCCTCTGCAATCCAAGATGCTGGGGACCCAGCTCACAGCTCCTCCTTTGGGTCTTCTGAGGTCTCCACAGAGAAGATGGGCATTAAAATTCAGCAGATCAAAGGGAACCTGTCTCCAAACATTATAACCAGGATAATCATATGTATATAACCTTATAAATGAAGGAATTTTAGAAACTCAAGCTTGAATAGTGGCTACCAAGGGACTGGGAAAGAGGGTGGTGTGTGGGAAAGGGGTGGTGAGGCTGCTCCTGTAGGTCTGTGAGGTGAAGATGTAGGTGATAAGGTGGCATACACACAGGTACTAGCAAGAGGAAGAATGGCCACACCAGAGGAGGATGGAGTACAAGCCACAGGGCTCTGCGCTGTCTGATACAACCCCATGTGAATCTTCAAAGATGCCCACCCCCAGTTCCCTGAGAGAGAAGAGGGTTATAGCCAGGCCGGTCTGGTCTCTGCCCTGCACCGTGGCACTTACATTGAGCCAGCCTGAGCAATATCACGGCCGGGGAGGCAGTGTACTTACAGTGACTCTCACATGGGTCCCCAGTATCCGAGATGGGGCACTGGTTTTATTTTCTGCTAAGTGTACTGAGTTGCAGACACCACTTTGATGGCAGATGTCCTTTGAAAGACACAGCAGTCCCTGTTTTCAACCCTTTCAATCTCCAAATTGCCCAGCTCTTGGTGGATACAGATTGCAGAGCTGGCCACAGCAGCCCCATTAGCACAGCTGTGTCTCTTTCATTCCTGCTTGTCTCCTGGCTGGCATTAGCCAGAGTCCCCATCCCTCTCTTAGTGTGGTGCTAAAAGCAGCCACTAATGTGCCCTACATCACGGATGTCCCCTGCCGCTTCCTAGCGCACTCCTGTCCAGATCACAGGCTGCTTTTCAAAAGACAACCAGTGTTATCCAAGGCCATGCTTCTGTGTAGCCAGAGTCGCCAGCTCTCACTTACTGTATGTGAGTCCCTGCCACCTGGGCACATTCATTAAGCCAATACCTCACGCCTAAGCTCTGCTTCTCATGGCTCACTCCACTCTGCTCTGTATGTTGTGTCAGCTAAAATTCAATCTGGCCCCAGGCCGGGGAAATTATAAAACAGCAATCACTTAAACAAGGAGGATTTAATTCTTCTTTTTGAGTCTCAAAGTGGTGCAGGGAGGAAGCGAGGGAAGAAGAGGGACTCATGGGAGTCGAGGAATCTCTTCCATCCGTCCTGTGGCCCTTGGAACATGGCATGGCTGCCCCAGCTCCAACCATCACACTCTCCCTCCCTCCGAGGTAGGGACTAGACAGAGCATCTCCACCCTGCAAAGATACTTCCTAGACGTGGCCTTCCCTGGACCAGAATGTAGTCACATGTCTGCGTCTGGCTGGAGGAACTGAAATGTCACTACTAGAACGGACGGCTCCTGCACGGTGGGATTTTGGGTTCTTTCCGTGAGCAAGAAGAGACAGCCTATATTGGTGCATATGGGGGGATATCTGGCCTCCTGCAGCCCCTGAAACTTAGTTACAGAGTCCTTGATGACGAAAAGCTTGAGGGTTTTTGATGGGGTAAGTACTTTTGTGTATGTTTATCTTATTGATTGTTTAATCAAGTTCTGTTTGGCCAATGAAATAGCAAGTTAGACAGGACTAGGAGTCAAAGAGGATTCTGGGAAATGTAGTAGAGAAGTGCTGATCCAGGCCAGAAGTGACATAGCAAGAAGACTCATATTTGAGCAAGGAGAAACAGGAAGTGTGCCCTTTCCCTCTCCGCTCTTCCTCCAGCAGCACGATGTGATCCACCAGCAAGGAGGGACGCCAATAAGGCGCCCAATAAGATAAGTCTTATAAAATATATAGATTTATGCTAATTGAGACTGAGCTAACAGATGGGAATCCTAGTCATTGGCCAAGCAGCTTTGTACCTAATATGTCTCTGTATTATTTTGTCCATCCACACAGCGGGCCACGTGGCGATAGCGCTCGGGCGGCTTTGGAGGAAAGATTTATTGTAACAGGTTTTTAAGTTTTTAAGCCTCCAGAATTCTAATCACTTCTTTATGGCAGAAGGGGCTGGTTTGTGGACAGTATAGAGAAGAGATCTGGTCTCATAAATACTCCCCACCAAGTGCTGCCCTGGCTCCTGACTAGCTGGCTGGGTCATCCTTGAAGGAGGCCACCGACACTCTTCACAGGAACATAAATGATGTGCCCCTGGCAAATGAAGAAAGTTTAGTGAGGGTTTTGTTTGCATGGATGCATGTTTGCTTCCATAGTTGCTCATTTGTGTTTCAGATAGGCTCTCATTCTGCAGCTCACACAGTCCTCTCTCCCAGGGCTTGGATTGCAAGTGTGTTCCCCCACCATGCCTGGCAGAAAAGGAAAGCTTTCCAAAGGCAAGGTCTTCTGCATGCAGTAATCCTAAAGGCCAGCTGAACACATGCCAGAGCTGGGAGCTGAACAACCCAGGTGTTACCACGTGCACAAATAAAAATAAATAAGCAAATTTAATTAAATGAAGCACGGAATGAATTTTTAACTCCAGTGGCTGTAGCTAACTTTGGATTAGCAAGTCATTTGGAAGCTGAGCTTCTTAATAAAAGCACATTCCCCTGAAAATGTTTACCACTGTTGTCTTATTTCACACTCCGTCACCGCAAGCAAGAACCAGCTTCTTTCACAAGGAGGCAGAAATGCACTAGATAGAGGTGGATGGTTTTCAAGGAAGCCTCCTGGTGCTGGCATTGCCCGTAGGAAGCATCTCAGGGGTGTGGATAGATTTCATTGTTTCAGGGTTTGCTTTGTGGCACTGGGGATGGAACTCAGGGATGCTCTGTTCATGTATTGGCAGGAACCTGTGGGAAGAACCAGCCAGATGACACCCAAGAATGTCTCCTGGAGAGGAAGAGGACAGTATCCAACTGGCATCTAAACGGGGGCCATGTCACAGTTAGGAAATTTCCATGAAGACACCCACAGGACTGGATGTCTGAACCCCAAGGTCTATGGCCTGGGGAAATGACCATGAGCTAGTGGCATGGGGATACTGGGACTTACCTTACAAATATCTAAAAATGTTGGCAAGATAAGTGTTAACAAATGTCTAATTAAGTGTCTACACAATGTAACGCTTTGCTCTCCTTGCTAATTGCTGAATCTGCATTCATGAATATCGCATGAGTATTTTATTACTTTTGGAAACAATGTGCCGTGAGAGCATCTTACAAGGCAAGAATTTACAAATGTGTACACAAGACCAAGGGAAATTGAGATGAGCCACCATCAGAGGCACACTGACTTAAAACCTCTTGGGAGCATCTAGTCGTGTATTCCTAGCACAAGGCATGGAGGCATCAGAATGTATTTGCTGTGGGCTGGGATTTCCAAGAATGCTTAAGGGAAGGTGCCAAGCTTGGATTCCTCAGAAGAGCCTGGAAGCCAGTGCTGCATATTAGGACTTGCTGGCCTTGGAGGTGTCTGTTGTAGCTATGAAACTCTGTTGTCAGAGCTCAGAGCAGCCTGGTGCCACAAGTTGAGCTGAGTGTCAATAAAGCTTTATTTACAAGAACAGACAAGGGGCCAGATTCCCCCATGGTGCTCTTTTTTCTCTTTCTCTTGGCTTTAGGTCTAGAAAGATCTGATGACCACCTACCAACCCTAGTCCATAACTCAGACTCAAAACTGTGTTTTCTTTAAAAAATGCATGTGTGTGCATGTATGATGTTCGTACATGGGTACACATGCCATAGTGCACATGTTTAGCCCAGAGGACAACTTACTACCTGCTCAGACTTTTCAAAAGACACATGTCCTTGTGAATAAGTTTTGAAAGAATGTTCCTACCCTGCCCCACTTCTACCATACAATTTACATGAACACTGAGTGGGCAACGAAATGCTATTAAAAAAAAGATATGGTTTTGTTTAAACAGAAATCTAATCAGAACATATTCCTTCAAAGTTTGCTAAATTCTTTTTCTATACTGATATGAGGAAGTTAAATCATAGCACGTCTTAGATTCTCAAAGCACACTCTGTTTATATGATTTTAAGCTTAATTATTTTTCTCAAAATAACATAGCTGGCTTAGCTAATCAAAGCGTGGAAGGGACTGTTATCTTTTTTAAAATCACAGAGAGTACTTATTACATATACTCTAGGAAGCACTTTCCCGTTTATTAGCTTTCTCCACTTAAAATGAAGCAGAATGACAATTATGGAAATGTAAATAATCCTTTAAAAACCCATTTTCATTTTCTTCCAGAATTACCCACTGCTCACCAAACAGCCAGGTGATCCATGGGTTATATTTTCATTCACCATCAGAGTTGGGTCACCAACAGAAGCAAAAGAATACATGATTCGATTTAAGTCTTTCAAGAAAATGTGACAAATCAAATTTATAAAGCACACAGCCCACCATTCCACTTTGCTTCAAGACACTGTGTTTGGATTCATGGTTGATCCTCATCCTAGGACCACATCTTAGGTTCTCCCCTGTTGCTGTGATGAAACACTTTGACAAAAGCATCTTAAAGGATGGAGGGGAGTTGTTCTGGTTCACAGTCAAGGGTACAATCCATCATGGAGGGAAGTCAAGGTGACAGGAATCTGAGGCGGCCGGTCACATGACGTGCTCAATCAGGAATCGGGGAGCAATGAAGGCTGATGCTCAGCTCTCTGTCTCTACTTTTAACATCTAGGATCTCAGCCAAGGAATGGTGCCACCCACAGTGGACATCTCTTCCCATCTCAATGCCAACAAGATAACCCCTCACTGGCAGGCCAGAGGTACATCTCCCAGATGTTTCCCGAGCAATTGCCAAGCTTGCAACACTAACCACTGTGAACTAGGATGTACTTAAGGATAAAGAACAAAAGGAGGGGTCCATGAGGAGTGACCATCCTCCCAAATGTCTTTATGAGGGGACTCTTGATTCAGAACACATTGTTTCAGATGGAGGAGATTTTTAAGTCAAGCAGTCTGGCAACTCAGGGGAGAGGTCCTGCTCCAAGACGGTCAGAGAGCTGAGGGTCTCAGCTCCTTCATACTCTCCCTCCTCTCTGTAGACATGAGGTTGGTAGCCAGTGTCGCTGTCCAGAACATCAACAGCGTGGAGCTTCTGTGGGGAAAGCCAGGGAAGGAGACAGTCACTGTCCTGGGCGCCCAGACAGCATCAGTGTCCTCTCGGGTAGACTTGAGGGAAGTCTCTGTACTGTGGGGGAAGACCTCAGCCCTACAGACTCAACTGTGGTGGCCAAGCTGAAGTGGGAGATACTGCCTTCTCATCCCTATTCCAGCTATGATGGTGAACATCCTAGGCACTGGTAGAGGCTCTTCTGAGGACCTGTCACCCGTTCTTTCTCCCTTGTGCACTTGTCCTGGGCACAGTCCTCAACCTTCCACGTCCTGGACGCGTCCTACTTCTAACCCACCTGCATCTTCACTTAAGGCGGTGCCCTCTCTTTTCTCGTGCTTACCATGTTTCTTGTCTGGGGAGCCTTCCTAACTCACAAATGCCCTTCCCTTCTGCCTGCCCTTCACTAACTTCCATACTTTCCTCCACCCTCTGAATAGGACCAAAAAATTTTCTAGGCCTCTGAACTAATTGGACCCCCCCCCCAAGCTCCTCAATATCTTGGCCTCTAAACCCCTAGAGACTGTCAAATCCCAAGCAAGGCAGATCTCCCACATGGCCAGACATATCTTCCTACCCCAACCCCTAAGGCCGTCTCACTGCACAGACACACCACTCCTGCCTAGGGTTGTGGCCTTGCTGAGTCACTGGCTTGCTCTCCCCCTGGCCTCTGCTGCTCTTCTCCATGAACGATGGTCCCTGCAGCCAACTTCCTGTCTAGAAGCTCCAGCTCAGTGCTCAGGGCCCAGACATCCCTCTGGCAGCACTGCCTGGCCTTTTCTTCCAGAGTCACTTAGTAAGTGTTTAATTGGTAGGTGCGCAGGTGGACAGACAGAGTTCTTCAGGATGGATAGTAGAGGGGTGGAAGGGTGGTAGAGCTATGAAGGGAGGGAGAGAAGTAAAGACGAAGGGACAGACAGATGGAGATACGAGTGGAGAAATGTGTGTATGCATGTATTATGCACCATGCATGCATGTATAATGTATGCATGATGGATGGATGGATGGATGGATGGATGGATGGATGGATGACAAAGAGATGGAGGAAGGGAGGGGTGAAGTATGAGCTCCAACCTATTTCCTGAGGTCCAGAATGGTCCTATTTGAAACTGAGCCACTTGAGTCAGTGGTGGTGGGAATGGATCTAGTGGGGCTTCCTAGCCTGTTGTTATGTAAACGGACTCCAGACACCGCGTGTGGAGGATGAAAGCATTTGGACCATGGTGGCTCAGAGCACGACATGGGAGTTGGAGTCAGGCCTGGGGGGAAGTTGTGGGGCCCTGAGGACCCCTGCACGTATTCTCCTAACAGCAACCATCAGTTGGTGCACTCTCAGCTGGCAGCCAGCTGCTCTCTAGATCCCTGTCTCACCCCTTCCTCCACAGAGCAGAAACCCAACCCCCACTGTGCATGGAATCTGGTGCCCAGAGACCCAGAGTGGATCCCACACACCTGCTGGGTCTGTTATCTGAGGACTGTGGCCATGCACTCCACGCCCAGGTGGTGGAAAGGAAGTTCTCAAGGCTGAGAAGGGAATGTCGGAACCTGGCCCAGATGTTAGGAGTCCAGTCACGTCCTTTGGGCAAAGCTAAATAGATAATTCATGACAAACCCGGTATGTGCAGAGCAAAACTGATTCAGCAGCGGGGCTGCACCTCAGGAATTCAACTTCAAACCCCCAAGGCTGGGCCAAGCAGCAGGGCTCTGCGCCCTGATTCAGCAATTCCAGAGTCCCCTAAGATCAATAATTCATCACAAACCACCAACTAAGTCTGAAGGCTCACGAGGGAAAGAACTGCTCTTCTCATCTGGGTTTTTGATTTTTTTTCTTTTTTTCTCACACCATGGAACTCAGGGCTTAAGTTGTACTGCACAAAGCGGCTTGCCTGGCTGGCGCAGGAGGAGGGAGCTTCTCTACCAGAACACAGCCTTCTCCTGACTAGATACACAGGACCTGTGGCCCTATGTGTGCTGCCTACTTGGTTCCAGCTAGGTGTGTGCACATGTGAAGATGGGCACCAGATGTCATGGTCACTAGGAGAGGTGTGTGGTAGGTGGGTGGCCTCGTTGGTGCACAGCATCTCTGGCAATGAGGTGGAATTGGCCAGCCATCCTTCACGGTTAAGAAGCACAGGCTTTGCTGGTATTGCTCAATAGCCAGGTGGGCTGGTTTGGACTCTGTGGCCTCTATTCTAGCCGCAGATGGATTTCCCCATACCTCTGCCCATGCCCAGACACAGCTCTGCGTTCATAGCTCAATGGGAGTGAGTTGGAAGCCTGTGCCAAGCCTCAGCTCTACCCTGTGGATGGATGAGTCCATGGCCTGTGTCCAGCCCAAGCTCTGCCTTCATGGCTCTGCCATGCAGAGTAGCTCCCTGGGCCTTGGTTTTCAGGCCCACCTTTCTCCTGGAGCTTTTCTGACAAATCCATCTTTCATTCTTCACTGATTATTCCCCTTGGACTTCAAGTGCACTGAAGTGAAGTTCAGGGGCGGGGTTTCTGGACTGTGATTGGATCCTGAAGGTTCTGCCTTCACCAATGGGAAGTGATGCAATGATGGAAGGCAGGGCCTGGGAGGAGGAAGGGGGGTCACTGGGGTTGTGTCATTGCCTGCTCTCTCTTGCCCTGAACTCTCCCTGTTACTCCACTCTGCTTCATGGCAGCCTTGAGTTGGTCACCTTTGCTGTGCCATGTGTCCCCACTGCATGGGTGGTCAAACCATAGGCTCACAGCAATGGGGACAGCCAACATGGGCTGATGTCTCTGAAAAGGAGACAAAATAAGTCCTTCCTCCTGCTCAGGGTCCTTTTTCTGTCAGGTATTTTTCCAGAGATGAAAATCTGGCACTCTGTAAGGATATAGGGTTCCATCATAGACGTTCTAGTCTGGAGAGAGAGTGGGGAGGAAGGGAGAGGGAGAGGAGAGGGGAGGGGAGGGGAGGGAGAGGAAGGGTAGGATGGGGGGACAGAGGGAAGCAGAGAGGGGAGGGGAGGGGAGGGAGAGGGGAGGGGGAGGCAAGGAAGGTGGAGTGAAGCCAGAAGGAGAGGGGGCTCCTCAAGGACATTTCAAGGCTATTCCTCCCAGTGATCAGGCCTGAGAAAGGCCCAGATCTGGACACAAAGTCTCTGACTCAGGAGCCTGGTGGATCTATCCTTTGGTGTATTCCAGCAGCCACTAGGCTTGGTCCATACTGCAGAACTCACAGGCAGGAAGGAGTCTAATGAAGCTACAGATATGCAGCACCAACCAGGGAACAGCGGTGAAATGCAGAGGCGCCAGTGCTCAGAGACCCTGGCAGAGGCTCTACATCCAAACAGTCCAGGCTCACTTCCTACAGCCCTGTCTCTTGTCCACACTGTGGCACCAGGGATGGAGATGCCAGCGGCACCATGAAGGTTCACAAGACAAGATCCAATAAACTAATCTCAGAAGCTCTGTTAGCACCCCGGGCTTACAGCACCACGGGGGTTCATAGACCGGGCCCCAGAACCTCAGATTAGAGGCTCTGTTGATGTTTTTTATGAACTTCTGTGGCTTGAGCCATCAGATTATAACACTGTGTCATGGCATCCTTTGCTGACCCATTCAGCGGTTTAGGAGAGGGCGTCCCCAATCAGACATGGAACAAGGTAGAAGAGAGGAAGGGCTGACGGCTAGTGCAAGGACAAAAAGAGCACGTACCTGATTCCATGTCTCCACCACCCTTCCTTCCATCAGTTGCAGGGGGCATCTGGGTACCAAGGGATCCAGATAGACCTGCAAGATGAATCAGAAGCATCCAGCCTGAGGAACACTTACCACACAGCTTCTTGCACCAGTACCTGCTGTCCTCATGCCAGGTCCTGTGCAGAGGCCAGGCAGGTGCCTCGGGCCTGGCTGTCAAGCACCAATACTCTGAGTTCATACATGCATGTGCTAGGCGAGTACCCAGGAGTGGCAGAAACATGAAGAGTCCTGGATGACAGAAGGGTCCTAGAGCCAGAAAGTGTAGGAGAAATCCCACGTACCTGTAGCACCAACCACACCCATTTGGGTGATTTGGGTGTGGTCACAGGTATGCAGAAGGGATGGGATAAAAAGGACTGAGGAGGAGGCTCTCGCCCTCTTTTCAGGGTTCAGGTCGGGTCTCTGAGACTGGACTTCCTGTCGTGCCAATCTGGTTACCGGCCTCTCATGTGAGTATTCCTTCTTAATAAATATACCATTAATAACCATATCCTGTGTTCGATTCTGTTCCTTTAAGGAAGACCTCTTAGGACATGGAGAAACACGAGGGGAAATGGGAGGGCCACAGGGCAGGTATTTCTAGGCGGCCCCAAGTCAGGAGGGAGGGTGGCGTGTCCTCATCTAGGTGGGAAGGAGATCACTGCAATCGGCAAGCAGCGCTGAGGAGGGGAAGGACAAAGGCAGAGATGAGGAGACGGAGGACATCACGGGGCAATGACAAACTGCTGGGGACTGTAAAGTGGAAGTGGCATGCTGACCCAGGCCTATAAAGGACTTGTGGCCTGTTGTGGCTAAGCTGACTTATGACCGTCCTGAGTTTGAGATACCTGATCCAAATGACATACCTACATATGACAATGTCTAGGCCAATTTTACATCTCTTTGATGACACACATGCATTGTGTACACACACAGATGTATACACGAAAGCTTGACTACCCGTCTCAATACATATACACTTACACACGAGCATACATAGTGGCTAGTAGTGCGCTCACCACACCAAGGTAGACGGAACTAAACACATTCAACAACAGCAACAAAGCATGGACTGCCACCTACAGTCCTGGATACACTGCCTGCTCCCAGGGTTGGGAGCACTGGATTAGATGTGGTACCATTGCTCACTGTCCTCGGTTTAGCTCTGGGTGCTTCTCTAAGAACACTCCTTCAAATTCAAGCTCTGGGGCTGGAGGGAAGGCTCAGAGGTTAAAGTGCTTGCAAAGGGAGCAAGCAACGAGAGTTCAAATCTCTAGAGCCTGTGTGAATTCTGTGTGGGCACAGCAGTCTGTCTATACTTCCAGCCTCAACGGGTAGAGATGAGATTCCCCGAGAAAGCTGACTAGGGGGAACAGCCACTCCTGTGAGGCTGCGTTGATGGGGAAGAACCAGCCTTACAGAAAGGAGGAAAGGGGAAAAGTGATGGAGAATGATTCTGGATGTCAACAAAGTCCACAGTCATGTGCTCACCAGAGCACACGTGTGCACACACACCACACACACATGCATGCACGCAAGCACGTACACACTCAGAGAAAAGGGAAGGAGGAATGCAGGCTTTGTATAACATAGAACCTCAGGCTATCACGTGTCTTTTCTACTCCTGGTCAGAAGATAGTGTGTCTTCTTCCCAAAGACAGCTCATGCTGGTTTTGCCTTGAGTCACTAGCATCCTGACACCACACTATAGAAGACTCCTCCACAGCCAGGACGATGCCATCTCCTGACTCAGCACCTCTCTGGTCTCAGTCGCTGGTCTTGGGCCATGTATCTACGTCTGTGACTATGCAACAGTCTTCAGCAAAAGACACTTAATCTCATCTTAGGTGTTTGCAAACTATTTTAGCTGTGTTCTCTGATGTTACTTCTGCAATATAACAGAGGGTGGCTCTGTAGGGGACAGTAAGCTGTTAGAGGCTGGCTACAGGTGTGCCTGACCACGCCTGTTAGGGCGTGGTCAAGGTGAGGTCAGGATGATGGGTGATGTGTTCTTAAGGGACAGCAAAGCACATGGAAGTCCTTCTCTCTGGCCTCCCTGCCTTGCTGCTCCTGGCACGCTCTGGCTTGCGTATGGCTGGTGTTTTTCTAATAAAGGATATCTTTATCCCAAGCTCCTTTTATGGGTGATGTGTTCTTAAGGGACAGCAAAGCACATGGAAGTCCTTCTCTCTGGCCTCCCTGCCTTGCTGCTCCTGGCACGCTCTGGCTTGCGTATGGCTGGTGTTTTTCTAATAAAGGATATCTTTATCCCAAGCTCCTTTTATTTCTTAATATGGGTCCTCATCATTTTGAACCCCATCTGGGATGCCACACCAATCAGCTTTTTATGAAATTTGAATTAAGCTTTTTGTCCCATATCTAATGAATCAAAGAGAATTTTCATAGGATGACCAAGGCTGTTTAAATAGTGATGATATTTGGGATGATTCCAGGAACATATCAAACATTTCCCAATGCTCCAAAAGCAATTTCCAGAGGGAAGAATTGGGTATGAGAATGTGCACTTCTGCAGCCTCACCACAGCATCCACGTTTCTTTGGGATCCAGCTTCCCTGAGTCATTATCTGAATCCATCATTCCTTTAACAAGCGAGAGTTGTGTCAATATGCGCTCACAGCAAGGCTTTGAAGCAGCCACTCATCTGCCTCATTTAGAGTGGATGCTTGGTAGGATTTCAGTGGGAAAGAGGGAGTCTGCTACCACAGGTGCTCAGAGGAGGAATGGATCCACCCACCTCCAGCAGCTCGACCTCTCGAAACGCCTGTCAGGGTAAAGACAAGCGCAGACACACATCTGCCAGGGCCAAGCTTGCAGCAGCCAAAATGCATGTGCAAAGACTGACGCCCATGTGCCTTCACGTCCTCAGACACCTGTGCTTTAGCTACCCCCTGTGTGCATGTGAATGGAGACTAGTGTACATGCATGTCTCGGTGTGCGCATGTGTGTGCAATGTATGTGTGGAGGCTTAAAGTTAGTATCAATTGTTTTGGGCCATTCCACCTTTTTTATCTTTAAAATTCATCATTTGTGTGCATGTGTGCACATGCCTTTGGGTGACTGTTGTCCTGTCTATGCCACGGAGTATATGTGGAGGGCAGAGGACAACATGCAGGAGTTGATTCTCTCCTACCACTTATCATGGGATCTTGGGATGTAGCTGCAGCAATCCTTGGGTAGCAATCACATTTTCCTGCTGAGCCATCTCACTGGCCCCAGTCTTTATTTTTTGATTCATGGCTCCTCAGTAAACCTTAAACTCATCAGTTTGGCTAGGATGACTGGCCAGCGAGCTTCAGGATATGCCTGTCCCTCCCACACTGGGACCTTCATGTGTGCAGGGACACCTTACAGACTGAGCCTGTCTCGGCCACTTCTAGTCCATGTTCCACAATCCACTCTAGGTATGCTGGGTGTCAACTGTATTTTGAACCCACCCTCCTCTCCCGAACCGCCTGTTTTAGTGGTTTTGAGCAACGTAATGCTCATGGCGCCGTGCATGGCTGTACTTACCGGGGTGGAAGATCGGTTTCTCATGCCTCTTGGCTCAAAGAACATGCCGTGACCCTTAAATTGAAGAAGAATGAGATTTTGTTGATTTCATAGAAATCAGAGACAGAGGTAAATGCAAGACTAGGAGTCCTTGGGATGATGCTACTTTTCATTGCTGAAGGGGAGAGGCCTAAAGACAGCAGTACACATCTTCATTGCAGAGAGCCCACACACAGGAACACTCACTGCAGGGAGTCCTCACAAAGGGTTACACTGCTGTGTAGCACTGGGGCATGAAGATATTAGATTTGTCTTTGTGTTCTCAGGCACCCAAGGAGGCACCCTGGGTCATGGCTAGGACCTCAGAGTGTGCATGGACACCCTAGAATGCAGGACTTGCCATGCTACATGAAGGACTTGGTGCACAAAGAAATGGTGAAGCTCCACTTGTTAAAACATGAGGGCTGGCAAGGTGGTGGCAGCAGAGGACTGAATTCTTCCTGGGCTTTCAAGTGTTGTCCCCACAGGCCCTGCACCAGGCCACTGAACAGATTCCATGTCTAAAAAGCCAGTCTTGCAGGACCAGGGGAGCATGCCTTCAAGGCCTGGACCCTCACTGGTGGACTCAAGCCATCTATTCTGTACAAAGTACAACATCCTAATTCCCAGGCGCAGCCGAGACCACAGTAAGATCCTGCACACATTGTGAGTTCCATCCTATGTCTCCTCCTGTAAAGAGGCCTTGGCAATTCACACCTTGAATACCTCTCCCTCATATGCCACAAAACTAAACTTTTATTAAAATAGTAGCTTAGCAAACTGGTGAGGTCCCAATGAGATGGGCATCCCAGACTCATGTTGAGAGAGCACAAGTAACTCCCTGGCTTGGACATATGCTGTGGTCATATAAAGTATTCTCCAGGGGGTCTGGGAGAGTCCACAAGTACCCTTACTCCATAGCTTCTTTTGACTTTAAAAGTATTCCATAAAAAATCACTTTGCCAAACAAGGCTGTGATTCTAGAATTGGCACGTAGGGCAAATGCAGACACTTTTATGGAGTGGGAACCAGGGCTCTGCTCACTGGCAGTGTGGGCTCGTTCACAAGCTTTGACATGAGAGACTAAGCTCTGGTGCCCTCAGATGGACACAGGAAAATGCTTCTGTTTGTGGAAGGTCTGAATTGTGTCATGTTTGATGAGGGCTATCAAACATCAGGGGTGTGTGTGTGTGTGTGTGTGTGTGTGTGTGTGTGTGAGAGAGAGAGAGAGAGAGAGAGAGAGAGAGAATGTGTGCACCCTCAAGCACATCACACACACACACACACACACACACACACACACACACACACACAACAAAGGAAATGCAGCTGTCAGTGGCTCTTGACATTGGCTTGAAGATATCTCCTTCTTCGCCACATCGCACTGGCATTGCACTAGCAATCAGTCCCAAGTGGCTACTTGACGCTAAAAGTGTGAAGAGAGGCTGATCTCACCACCACTGTGAACGTGCTTAGTGTATGCAGGACCCTGGGAAGGAAGCCCAGAGATACCACAAACTTGAGGGCAAAAGGCCTCCTGTAAAGTAGGGGCCAGCACTGTGGTGGTTTAAATGAAAATAGCCTCATGGACTTCAGCTAGTGCTGTTTGGGGAGGTTATGTCCCCTTTAGGAAGGAGCTTTGCAGGGGGAAGTGTGTCACTGGGGGTGCGCTTTGAGAGTTTATACCCTCACCTCACTTCAGTTCCCCCTCTGCCTCCTGTGTGTGATCAGGGTGTGATCTCTCTGCTCTTACCCCTGCCATGCCTCCCCTCCACGATGGGACCCTTCCTTCTGTAAGTCACCTTTGCTCATGGCATTTCATCATAGAAAAAGACTGATACACACTTCCCCCTCCCCGGTATAGTTCTAGTGTGAACTCAGTGGGAGTGGGCATGCACAGGGTTGCCCAATAAGTCACACCAAGGTAATTACCTGGCCTCCGGAAAGTTCCAGACTAAGAAAGAAAGAGAAAGCAATGCCAGTCCACCCGCCATGGTTGCAGTTGGGGGGACAAGTGGACCTCCTTGACTAGCAGGGCTGCATGAACTGGGTAAGTGGAGCCCCTGGTCCTGCCTTTAAATTCAGCAGCCCACAGTCATTTTTGGCTTCCAAAATTGGAGGAACCTACTACTTAGGTAAAGGAAGATTGGGCATGTATGTAAACAGTTCTAAGCTACACCAAACTGAGCAGCGAGAAAGCGCTTCCCTCTCTAGTTCCTTCTCCAGAAGCTTTGTGTGTGGGCCAGAGAAGCCGCCAGGGCATTTCTCCTGCAGAACTAGCAGCAGACAGAGTCTACAGAGGCATGTTACCTTCACGTCAGGCCTGGCACTGGACATAGCTGTGCTAAAGGACAGAACAGGCATCTGGTCTTCCCCAGTTGGCTGCATCTGTGAAAACCAGAGGAAGAAATATGACAGAGGTCAGAGGGGAGTCATAAAAATCAGCAAGCGAAGAACTGTACAACCCAGAGCATATATAACAGCAAAGCTGTCGAGGAAGAGCTATTTATTCCATATCCCCGGTGATGCATCTGGGGAGGGGAGGGTTTACTGTTTGTCTTCCTCAACGGCTGTTTGAGGGGGTGGTGAACTTCCTACTGTGCAGAGTTTATGTCACGTTATGTCATGAGACCCTAGATCTCAAAAATCTTCCTCTTCTAAGGCACCAGCAATGGTCCTTGGGGTCTCATCCCATCCTCACTCAGCAGGAATCAATGCTGGGTGCATCAGTGGGGCCACCAGTCTCCCCACAAATAGGCAGGTGTCCACATGATCCCTGGGATCATCACAGCAGCTGAATGTGACAGTGCAGGTGAGTGGCATCTCAGATGGCGTCTTCCCCCAAAACAGAATGTCCCTGGTGTAGGGACCATATTGCCTAGCATGGTCAGATGAGATGGACAGACAGGCGGGCATGCACCTGATGGAATGGTGTTATGCACCAATGGGGTCAGCTGCCAGCATTTATTGCATACCTGTCTGTGCTCAGCTGAGGACATGGCTTTTATTAATTTGTCCAATAAACAGCAAGGGAGTAGAAACATTGACCTCACTTTAAATATGGAAAACCCAGGCCAGCAAAGTAACCTAACTGCTGCTCACCAATGTGGAATCAAAACTCAGGTTGCTTGGGTCTCAGCTCTCAGGGCACTAAAGACCCTGGGGTAGAACACTTGTTTCTCAGCTGCTATTTGGGGCAGCTTATGGAATCTAGCAGGAGAAAGACATAGCAGGTGGAGGTGGGTCACTGGGGTGGACCTTTGAGGGTCATAGCATGACTCTGGGTTTTGGCCTGGGCTCTGTTACCACAAGAGAAGTCATTGCTGTATGCCCCAGCCACCATGGACCCACTCATTCCAGCCACCATGAGTTCCTCACTGTGATAGGTTAAATCTCCTGAACCATGGGTCAAGAAGAACAAGAAACTAAACAAGCAAACAGCAGCCTGTCTTAAGTTTTTTCTGCTGAGAGTTTAGGGTCAGCAAAGAGAAAGTAACACAAGGCATGTTCAACGACCAAAAAAGACAGGATTTCCTTTTGACAGTTTTGCTGTTTCTTAATCAGCTACTCCTAGTTCTTAGTGAAGACAGACAGGAGAGTTCATGATACCATCATCTCCTTGCCCATGGGACCCAGCCCAAAGTAGCTACAGGGACAAAAGGCTCCATTACAGCAGCATCAGGTGGGACATCCAACTGTCACTGGTCCTGACTCTGTGCAAGTTGTGTTGTGTTGGGAGCTTTCTTAGGTCCTGTCCCCCAATCCAGTACCTGGGGAGCGGACACTTCAGACAACAGATGGGAATGTGAGCTTGAATAGTGCATGGCTGGCTCAAATACACCAACTTAGCACAATGTAAGGACAGAAAGAGAGTCGAGTCTTGTCCCTGCAAAACCAGAGAGATCTCTTCTTGCCCTCTGTGGAGGATGGTGCAGTGGTTCTGTACAGGATGACTGACCAGTGGCAGAGAAGCCAGCTCAGATTTCACCAGGGAGAAAAGCAATGCCACCCAGAAAACCTCCACCTGGCAGAATTGCTTTCACCTGAGCTTGGTTTCTCAAGCCAGTCCTGGGGACACTGGGCCAGATAATTCTGTGTTGGATGATAGTTGGCTACAGCTCTGGTCTCAGCTCCCTAGAGGCTCATAGCATCTTCTAATTGCAACCATCCAAAGTACCTCCAGTCATTGCCAAGTGTCCCCTCAGGGACAAACTGAGAAGGTTGAGAACCACTGATAGAAAACACAAATGCATCCGGCTATGATATGCAATTTTTGAGGAAATGCTTTCCTGTGTCACTCAAACACAAATTAAGAGCAAAGAAATGAGGGCCTGAGAGATGGCTTTGCAGTTAAGACCACTGGCTGCTCTTCCAGAGGATCCAAGTTCAGTTCCCAGCATCCCTATGGCAGCCCAAAACCATCACAGCTCATTACTCCAGTTCCAGGGTATCCAGGGCTCTTTTCTGGTCTCTGCAGTGAGTGCACATACCTGGAGCATAGACATACATGCAGGCACTGGCATATACACACACGAAATACGTTAATCTATGAACGTGTGCTCTATGGATTTGTGCTGTTGATGTCGCTGCCATGCAACACACTGCTCCACAGTCCCTACCTGGGCTGAAAGGGCTTTGCTTTCCTCATTGTACACAATCAGTGTCTGGTGGCCATTTTCACTTGGGATGGAGCCTCTGAGCCTCTTGGGTCCAAATGCAAAGTGGCACCGCAGCAGGCAAAGCAGAGCAGCTGTGAGAACACAGAAAGGACTGAACAAGCTCGCCCCTGTCAGAGACTCCAGGAGACCAGGTTCCATTCACTTCCACCCCACTGCCACCTGACAGGGTCAGGCTCCATCTAAATCATCTCAGGAGCTGAGCAGCATGCGGGGCTCAGGTAGATGGCAACACTCTTTGCTGAATTCACTGCTTGATATTAACTGGCCAGGAATAGTCTGTTGTTTCTTGGAATAACTAGTGCCCTTATTAACCTCAGCCAAGCCCAGGAACCTAGACACCTAGACACCTGTGCACCGCTGTAACCATGGTTACTACAAACATATGCTCGCCCTTGGACTGTGTTCCTCTGTGGATTCCATTGTTTACATAATTGCCTGCCGATGGAAACTGAATTTCTGGCAATTAGGTGTGTCTGGCAACCTTTGACCTGAACAAACCCAGAGCTCATCCTCCTCCCACCCATGCAGAGACTGTCCCCTTGCCCCTTGGTCAATAAGCGGGGCTGAGCTCCCGGAAGCACTAACCTGCCAGAACCGCAAGCGCTGCACAAACAGGGGACAGGGCCCACCACAGGAGCCGCACGTCTGAGCGATTCTCACACTCAGATCCACTGGGACAGGAGCAGACCCTCACGTGGACCGTCTGCTTCTGGGTGAGGCCCTGTCTGTCTGCTATGAATAATGGCACCAAGTAATCCCCAGGAGGGAGGCTCCTCAGCATTAGGAGCTCAGCAGAGCGGCCTCCTGCAAAGGCAGAAAGACATGAGTAGACTCATCCGTCCCGTGTGTATCTCCTCATCCCTCATAGCTGAGTCTCTGCATGGAAATGGGAAAGATAGAAAATCAGAAAGCAAAGAGCACGTAGGAAAGAAAAGAGGTCCTTTGTCCCAGGATCTGGGTAACCTTTTCTATCGGATACCATTGATAAAGCCAAAGTGCCTACAGAGAGGACCACATGTGTCTTCCTAAAGACAGCCCAAATGAGGGTGGCAGATTAGCTGTGCTAACTTAGGGCCCAAATGATTCACTACCTTGAGGTTTTAGCACTCCCCTCATTCCTAAACATAAACAACTCCCTCATAAACCTACTTTACAACTTCATTGACAGAAGGAAAACCTGTAACCCTTAGACCTTACTGTAAATTATACTATCTGAACAAGAACCTACACCCACAGGATCCTGTCTACACACAGACCCAGGCTATCCCCACAGATCCTGCCTACACCTACAGGACCCTGCCAATACCCATGGGTTGTGACTTGGACCACAGGATCCTGTCTACACCCACAGGATCTGGCCTTGAGAAACCCACACCCACACTTGGGTGTGTCTTAGACTTGCCAAGAGCCTATTGCTCTCAAAATTTTAATAAAGTCCAGCTCTCCTTCACTCAGACTCATCCTGAAAGTCTTTCCTGTGGCAAAGCCAGGAATCCTGAGTCAAGGTCCCTAGGGGAGAAGGAACTTTTCTCCCTAACAACGTGGATCCATGCCTCAATCATATCTACCCCATATTAGCCACCACATGCTTGCCACTGGCAAAAGGAGCCATCGGCAACATTAGAGGGAAAGTCCCAAGATTAGTTTCACTTCTGATAGCAACTGCAAGTTCACATCCCATCATGACCATGCCCAGGGTTGACAACAGCAGTGGAGACATGTCTTCCAGGCATTTTTGCCCACTGGCATCAGGGACCTAGTAGAAACTTTATAGTCCTTGGTCCCAGCAATGGGATAAAGAGTAGTCTGTCTATGGTGATGAAGGAACCTCCAGACCCTTACTGAGATTCCTATCCCCACTGCATGTGGTCTTGGGGACAGGCAGGCTATGCAAGAGATGGAGGATTGACTGAGGGTGGGGTTATATCAGGTACAACTGCCTCTCGGTTGCCTGGAGACACCTGATGAGCGGCAGCCTTCGACTCCCCCATGCTCCTGTAAAATTCCTCAGTTTTCGAAGCTGAACTGGGATGGAGTCCTCTCTTTGGTTTTCAGTCTCTCTACCCAGAGTAAACACATGGCTTTACATCATCCCAGAAAAGCCATATGGTGACATGCTCTAGATTCTCATGCACACTATTAGAGCCGTGACTGCTATTCACTACATGGACAAGGGCGTAGATGAAAACTGGGGGACAGAAGAGCACAGAGCAGACAGTCATCTTCTTCCATGGTGTCAGGAAATCCACAAGTGACAACATGCATGCAATACTCCATCTAAGCAAGCCCACCCCAGTCCTCATGCCCAGAGTCCTTTCTGGGACTTGGTAAGTAAGCCTGGCTGGCCTCCCACACAACACACTCTGGTCTTTAGGTTCTCCAAGGGTCTCCTGAGACTGTGTGACCCAGTGTCCCCACCCTAAATCATTGTTACAGTCTGGGTTAGCCCCCAACTCATACAAACCTTCACCTTGCTTTGTCCTCAGCATCCAAGTATCTTCTACATCTCTCTGGGCAGAGTCCAAATCAAAAGTAAAGGGGTCAGAGTAGGGGTGCAGGTCTGAGTCCTCAGCCTCTAAGAGCAGGGGCTTGTCCCTGGCAGACTCGCAGACCTCCAAGTATCTTGAATGGGATTGGAGAGATGGAGCATTGTCATTGACATCAGATAGGTAAAGCACCAGGGTCCCTGTGCCAGTCAGTGGCGGGAGGCCTTGGAATAAAAAGAGTCCCGGGAATGACAGAGTAGGTTAAAATACTAAAGTGAGAGAATGAAAATGCACTTACAAAATTGGCAGTGTCAACAGCTCCTGCACTAGACGGCTTCATGACAATTGCTAGCTCTCTGGAGGGGGAGGCAATTTTCAGTCAGGGTGTGGCCCCTGGTTGGTTGACCACCCTCTGGTGGACATGCATACAGACAGACAGACAGACAGACACACACACACACACACACACACACACACACACACACACACACGAGTATGTGGGCAGCACCAACTATTCCCAATGGGTTTTAGATAAGAAGAGAACACAAAGCCAGGTGTGTGGGGGAGGGGTGCCAATTGAGAGGGAGCGATGCAGGCGGGTAAACATGATCAAAACACATTACATGGAATTCTCACAGAACTGAGAAAACTGTGACTAAATGAATAATTTAAGTCAATCAAACAGACAAAGCCCAGCAGGGTTTTCAGTGGAAGAAACCACCTCCCTCCAGCCTTTTACCCAGCTTGGAGGCTCAATGCCAACAAAGGCAGACTGAGCTCATCTTCCCTGCTTCTGCCTGTCCTGGGGGGGGTAGCACACCTGTGTTTCACCCTCCTTCCTCTGCCTCTCTCTATATTTGAATTGCAAAATTGGAGTGCTAACAGGACACAGGAGGTTGGACTGGACCCTGATTTGCAAAGAAGCTGCTGTAGCCAGTCTCTGCCCTACAAATCCTTCACAGAAGCCAAAGGAGGCCCAAGTTTCCCCAGGAGCAGGAAAGCAGGGTCCTCCCACCCATCACCTCATCACAGCTCCTAAGACTTAACCTGTGAAGATGGGGTGCTCTTTTTGTAAGACAGACTGCTTTACTCTCCCTCCCACTTCCCAAGCCTGGACTTGGATCAAGCTGAGGTAGTGGAGCCTTCCAGACCTGGTCCATCCATTGAGAGAGCCCTCCTTGTGCACATAGGCCTGGCAAATGACCGTGCTCAGGGCTGCCAAGACAAATCCACTCACTGAAACAGCCGGCCATTTCTCTTTCAAGACCAGGAACCACCCAGGCCTGTGCTCAAGCTGCGTCTTGTCTATATGAAAAGGCAAGGCAGACCAGGAAAAGCATTTGATTCCTTGCCATCGTGAGCATTTATAGATGAGGTAGAGTGTAGACGCTCTCCATGTCCTGTCAGCCATGTTACATGTTAAGGAGGTGTTGGGGGACATAGTGCCTATAAAAGGGCAGCATGTGGGATCCCCAGGGAAGATGGGTCAGTTCTGACCTGGTGGGGATGTTGCCTGTGATGGTGGACTATACAGGTTAAGCTGGGTAAAGGGTACTAGGATGCTAAAGCCGCACGTGAATCTGCCAGCAGGTTTGGGCGTCACTGAGGGTGGATCTTCCCTCATGGTCAGTCAGCAGCTGCTAAAATCAGGTACTGAAACTCTGGTCTCTGACCCCAGGCGGATACATGGCAATCAATCAGAACTGTCTGAAAGATTATGACTATCTGGTAATAACCTACTACAAACAATAGTACAAATCTGGTAAAGAACAAAGACCCACCAATCACCGGGGAGGGAAAGTGTCTATTTAGACATTTTAGGGATAGTATGAAGCCCACTTAAAAGCGAAAGTTAGTGGGTGGCCTCTCTGATCACTGGCCATTCTCCTCACCCCGTAAGTATGTGTTTCTCCTCAATGGGCCCTAGGGCCACTGTCCACTCTCATCCCGTGAGGTCCCCCACTTTTCTCTATCAGACACTCATCTCTACACTTCCACATATGATCTCTGAATTATTCTGGTGGAAACCACAAGGACTGGGGAGCACAAGGGAGGGCAGAATGGGATGATGGCAACAAATTTGTCATTATTTAAAAATCATCTTTCCAAATTAAAAATAAATCATGACAATCACGAAACCATCCACAACAGAATCGTGACACCCTGGAGTTCAGGTTGGGCCGCTTCTCTTCCCTGGACACGAGCTAGGACCTTGCTTCACTGACATTCTAGCAGAAGATCCTGAAAATGGGTTGGACAGGCCCGTAGCACTTGGCACCTGGGTTTTCATCCACAGACTTCTTCAGGTGCAATTGTTAATGTTACTGGAAGTGTTCCCACAACGCAGCTTTAGATTTTGATGCGTTTAACTTCAGCCTTGTGGGAATTTGGAGAAATGTGCTAAGACATGTTTTTAAAACCACTAGTCCTAGTTTATGACAATCACATTCCAGTCAGTCACATTTGCTGGAGCTTATGAGCAATTCCAGGTACAGGAAACTGCTAAATATTTATCACACATCGTTGGGCTTGACAAAGAGATACTGCGTTATCTTATGAACAGATGAAAACGGTGGGCCTGATGGCGGCTTCCTCGCTGGTTTAATTGTCTCTGCTGAGTGAATACTGCCCCTCTTTCAGAGGTATTGCTCCCTAGTTTACCATTTCAGACGTTATTATCAAAAATAATCTCCAGCATCAAGGCAAAGTGAAAACAAGGTTTACTTTATAATTTCCTCAGCAATGCTAAAAATGGCCTCCCAAGGGAGGAGCCAGCCCTGTTAGTTCCCAGCTTTGCCTTGGTACTCACCATTGTCAACTGCATGGACAGTGACTGTGTAAAAGCTGTCATTCACATGAGGGGACTCTCGGTCTATTTGCCTCTTGGTGGTGACAACTCCTGATCTTTCATCCACGATCATCCAATCTGCTGGATCATGAACCAGTTTGTATCTTGTAGAAGGAACACAGACACATTTATTTTGTTTGTTTTTAAATTGGAAAGCCTTACAAAAGACAAATCATGACCATGGTGGTGTATGGTGGTCCATGCCACTTAGGATGTGGAGTCAGGGGGTAAGTTCAAGACCATCTTTAACTACATAGAGGGTTCAAGATCTTGCTTCAAAAATATTTTTAATGACAAATCAAAATACAAATAGAACTTCTGTGGCGGGTTGAACACAAATGGCCTCCATAGGTTCCAAGCTTTGAATACTTGGTCACCAAGGAGTGGCACTATTTGAAAAGATTAGGAGGTGTGGCCTTGTTGGAGCAAGTATGTCACTGGGAGTGAATGTTGAGGTTTCAGAAACCCAAGACAGGTCCAGGGCTTCTCTGTCTTCCTGCTGCCTATGGATCTAGATGTAGAACTCTCAACTATTTGACCAGCACCATGTCTGCCTGCATGCTGCCATGTTTCCTGCCATCATGACAATGGACTAGCTTCTCAAACAGTAAGCAAGCCACAATTAAATGCTTTCTTTTTCAAGAGTTTCCATGGTAATATGGTAAGAGTGCCTCTTCAGAGCAACAGAGCACTGACTTAAACAACTACAGTTCCCTTCACAAGAAATTTGGGAATTCAAAGACAATTGAAATCCAAGTGCTCACCCAAGTGCTCATAAGCTTAAAGAAGGCTCTGGGGCATCAGTAAAGACTGCTCCACGGTGTCAGGTCCAGGGTCATTGGAGTAAGTTCCCTCTTCCTGGTTGGCCTGAACAGAACTTTGTCTGCCTTGGGGAAAGACTTGGTGCAGGAACAGAGCGAGTCTATAGGTATTGGATGGTTGCTTCCTGTTCAGCACAGTGTGTCACAGAAGCTTGGGTCTTTCTCTTGGCATGTCAGCCTGAGAGTTATCTTTCTACCCCTCATTTGTAAACCTGGAGCTATTTTAAGAGGTGAGCAGAGCCAGGCGTTGGTGGCACACACCTTTAATCCCAGCACTGAGGAAGCAGAGGCAGGCGGATCTCTGTGAGTTCGAGGCCAGCCTGGTCTACAAAGCTATACAGAGAAACCCTGTCTCAGAAAACAAAAACAAACAAACAAACAAAAAAGAGGTGAGCAGAATATTCCAGGATTCCTGAGAGTGGCTGGCATCAGACGGTATCCATTAGAACCTTGCCATGTTACCAACCACTATGCCTCTGGAGGGACCACAGTATGGGATTCCTGTACTCAAGCCAGCAGCACAAAGCTCAGGCAAAGAAAGGGCCAAAGAAGGGTAGCTTCCCCATGGGCTTTGTCTTCCTCATCTGGGAAAATGCTCTCAACAGGGTCCACCTTGACCCCTCTTTGATAGTCAGTCATAGCTTTTAAAGAGACTGTTTTCTCATGTACAACTTTAACAATTAGGGAAGGTTCTAGAAGTTTTTGTGGTTCTATAATGCCTACAAGCCAGGGGAAGAAACTCAACAGTTCATTCATAGATCATCTGAGGCCAAAAGAGCCCTCAAGGCAAATTTGGGCATGAAAACTAATTTCAACTGATGTAAATTAGACAGAACAAATCAAAACTAACTCTACTCTGTCACTGAAGACATACAACCATCACCTTGATCAAGCAGTGTCTGAGGCTACACTAGGATTCCATCACTGGAGT